TAATTAACAAGAGAGGCAGAGTCTAGTCTGATTTACATTCATCGATGGAGGGAAAGCCGTCTTCTGCAAACATTAATCGTGTTTATGAAGACATTGAACCATCAGCTGAATGGGAAAGAGAGGCAGCTTGTGACACTCTCCTCATTTATCTGCACGGTTTGTTGCTTGCTTGCTAATCCCTTTTCATCATTAATCTCTAGTATCTTTTATCGTTTCTTTGTCAATATCTCCATAAATCTCTCTACCTAATTAATATAAGTAAAATTCATTCTGTTTATTCAATTAATTGGTTTTTAGTAAAAGACTTGTGTGTTTTAGCCTGTCCCGATGTGGGAACTAGTATAGTACAACACCCTAATGGAGCGTGTTGGAGAATGTAAATTAACAATTATCGAAATTAACCATGTGATGTGAACTTTTCTTTATTTGTTTTTCACATGGTCTTTAAAAATGATGAATGGAGGAGTGTTGTTTGAGGATGCTTTGATTGATTTATTGTGCAGGATTTAGAAAGGAGAATCTGAGGATTCAAGTAACGTCGTCTCGCAACATAAGGGTGTTTGGTGAACGCGCACTTGGTCATGACAACAAGTGGCAGCGTTTCCGAAGGGAATTCCCCATTCCCTCCAACTGCGACACCAACGACATCACTGCTAGATTTGAGAACGGCATTCTCTACGTCAAGCTTCCCAAGGCAATTGCTCCCGCAGTAGTTGAATCGAGGGACAAACCACAAAAGCCACCCACCACCACAGAAGCTCCTAGGCCACCCACCACGGAAGCTCCAAAGCCACCCAAAGAAGCTCCCAAGCCACCAGCCGTGGAAGCTCCAAAGCCACACAAGGAAGCTCCCAAGCCACCAGCCGTGGAAGCTTCAAAGCCACCCAAAGAAGCTCCCAAGCCACCCACCACAGCAACACCTAAGCCTCAAGAGTCCGCACCCACCACAGAAGCGCCTAAGCCTCAAAAGCCCATAAGCACAAGTGATCTGCCACAGCCTCAACAGAGGACTAATGCTAATCAAGAACAGAACAAGAAAAGCGATGGTGGATCACATTACGTGCCTGAGGTGCCTCCGCGGGCAGTGGAGAAAGAGAAGGAACCAATTCATCATCCAAGTAAGGCGAAGAAGAGTACTGATAGCCATGCGTTAGCTGATGCTAGTAATGCTGCTGCTAAAAAACTTGAAGATAATCGGGCGAAAAAGGTTGAGGAGGATTCGACAAAGGAGGAGTATAAAAGAGCAATATTCGGGCATGAGAACACCGCCGGGGGTGTTGATAGGTGTTATAGAGCACAAGGTTATAACTACAAGCAGGTGCTTCAAGGCTTGATCATGGAGCTGAAGCAGCAGCCAAGGAAATTGGTAAACTTGGGTCTGGCATTTTTATTTATTCTGGTACTTGGGTTTTATGTCAAACACACAATCACTTTCGTTCGGGAATTCAAACGCGAAGAACTGTAAATCTGTAACGGCGTCTTGTGTATAGAAGCCGTTCTAACGGTTGAATAAAATGCATATACCAAGTGCATGAATTGAATAAAATGGCTTAACAATTTGGAGGGCTATATATGCCCAATTTGTTTACTTACAATCCCTTGTAATTGAAATTTAAATTAACAGTTAAAACATGTTATATATTCTATATTTCATTTCACGATTGAACAAATACGATCGATGTGTTTATGTACTCCTATCATAAAAGCATTCATTCCTTGCAGAAACGAGTACCGGAAATTAACTGGTATAAATATGAACTTCATCCTAACAAAGCTTTCTCTTTTCAGGAAGATGATGCGAGAATTACTTGACACTCAAATTAAACCCTCGTTTGACAATTGTAGTAGAATGGATAAGTGAGGGATCGTTCTAGACCGGGGATTAGGAGGGCTTGCTAAAACCTTCTAAATTGACTTAAAAACGTAAAAACAATATAAAACACTAAACTAGACTCAAAGAATGTGAAACTAAACGTTAAAACACTAAGACAAACCAAAAGAATCAAAATGCTTTAAAAACACAAACTAAATTGATTTCTAACTATATTGAACATTAAAGCAAAAGGGGGATTGAGGTTTGACGAAAATTGAAATAACGAAACAAGTTAATAATTAGACAGAATGTAATTGATGAAATAAGATGGTTGGTGAATTAGCTAGAGGTTCTTTCTCCACACATGATATTTATGCATATGAATCAATTTCCAGTTATTCCTTCATTGAATTATGAACGACAATGCCCCAAATTAACCGTGACATCACTAGTTAACCCTCAGATTTTCCTTATATTATTGGATTGGATGGCATCATTCGACAACCCAAAACATTCTCAAAAGTTCCCTACATGTCATCATAATAGAGATACAATCGAAGATCATTAAGAATAATGAAAACCATAAGCATTGACAAAGCATTTGCAACTATGACATCATGTTACTCATGCTAAGAATTAAACTTAACGCGATCGTGACAAGCGACCTTCACTACTTTCAAGTATAAGTTAGTAACGATTATGTGAAACCTTCTTAAACTTTAGCCACATACTTATGCATGCTAATTAAGGGTCGACCCTCAATCAACAAACACAAATAAGTTAATCAACAAATAGTTAAGCCAATTGCATTCACGAATCAAGAGTTCATAACCGGAATTCATCAATTCATATTACATAAATAATCATGGTATTGAAATCACCCCTAGCCAAAAAGGGTTTAGTTCCTCATAACTTTGAAATCAAAGAAACACCTAAACATTCCAACAACTCAAACTTGAATTGTATGAACGTTTAGGCACTCTTCTCTTCCATTCCTCATATTACAAAACAAAGAGAATTGAATTTAAACATTGAAATCAAAGAAACGCGTAAACATTCCAACAACTCAAACGTGAATTGTATGAACGTTTAGGCCCTCTTATCTTCCTCTTTATTGTGGCACAAGGACTAAGGGATATTGTTGGTGTGTTGAATGGATTGGGGGATTATGGAAATGGATGAGGATAGATGGAAGATAGAAAGAAAACCCACGGCTAGGAGAGGGAATGGAAGTGTTTGTGGTGTGGTGTTGTGTATGAAATGAGATGATTTTTGAATGAATAAATGCAAGGGTATTTATAGGAGGAGTGGAGATGTATATGACTATTTGTTTAAGGTGTTTGTGGCTGCAATGATGAAGAATAGCATGTGGAAATAAAAGGGAAAATGTGGTGAAATGATGAAGTAGGAAGGTGGAAATGCATGTGAGATGTTGGAAAGGAAATGGGAATATGAGTAGGCCATGGCATGGGAGTTGTTTTGTTGGTGTAAATGTGCCATGGTTGCAATGATGAAGAATAAAGGGTGCATGTGGGGTGGAATTGAATGAATGCAAAGTGAATGAATAATGAAATGAGTTAAAGAGGGAGAATGTGGTGAAATGATGAAGTAGGAAGGTGGAAATGCATGTGACTTGTTTGTGGAATAAAGAATGAATGGTGGAATGATGAAGAGTTGCATAAAGAATGCATGTAGGGTTAGCTAGGTTGACTTTGTTTGGGTGCATGTGTGTTAATGGTGGTTTTGCATGTGAATTGATGGATTGTTTTTTATGGAATGGATGGTTCTTTGCATGGCTTTTGAAGTGATTGTGGGATTTGGAATTGAAAGGAAATGCATGGCCTTGGGGTTGGTTTAAGAGAGAATGGGCTAGGCCCTTTGTTTTATGTCCAAAATGAATACAAGGCCTTCAAATTCGTCCAACACTTTGGCTCCAATCATATGCTATCCATTCCAAACCCAATTTTGCTCCAAAATGCTCCAAAATGCATCTTTTTGCTTCCTTAGCCATATGAACCTAAAAACACACGAAAATGGCTTAAACTACTAAAACAACTATGAATTAACAACATAGATGCACGAAAACAAGCTAAGTAAGTCGCCTAAATATGCTCCTATCAGAAGACTTGATCATTGCCTTGTTACCAGATACAGTATTACTGAAGCTTCTAATTGTTGGAGAACAATTCAGAAATAAACAAAAATAACAGAAATAAACAGAACTTGAAATTCTAATATTTTATTTACCAAATATACTTGATGTGCAGAATGAAATTATACAATAAATACATAAACTAATATAAAAATATCAATGATACTAACTTGATCACAGAAGGTAGAGGCTAGCGTAAAAGCTATGTCCTTCGAATTGTATTTTCGTCCCACTCTTGTGCTTGTGGTTCTACAACGTCTGCTCGACCAGGATACAACTACCAAATTCTACAACCCGCACTGGATTATAGAACTCTAGCGAATTGCTTTGTGTGTTTACTCTCTGGAAGTTTTTGTACGGAAGATAAGGAGGAAGAAAAAGATGATTCTCACTTGGATACTGTGATTGCAAATATATAGGCTGTTTAACACCCTTTCAAATACATGTTCAGTGTATTTGAAAGCACACAGCTCTTTCTAATAACTGTATCTTTTAATCAAAAAGTACAACTCTTTCTAATAGTTGTGTCTTTTAATCAAAACGTTTTTTAATTAATAAATTAATTAAAAAACTTAATCCGAAAATTAAAATTAATGAATCTGATTAATTTTAAATTCCAAGGCCCTTGTCTTGATTAATTAATATTAATTATATTCAGGCTATATTATATTCAAACCTAATCCACACAACCATAAGGCCCAAGCCTTCAATCCATTTCCAAATGGTCCAAGTTCTAATTACTAAAAAAAGGAATAAGTCTATATAAAGGCTTGTGAAAAAATACTATTGACCAATGTGGGACAAGAGGGTCTCAAACTCCAACACTAATTAGTGAGCAAAAGGAATGCAATTTATTATAACTCATATGGTTATCAGACTAATGCAAACGGGGATGAGCAAGAGAAAAGGCTACTTGCCATCAGTTTTGAGAATTAAACATAAAATTTATTCTAGTATCCGTGTAGAATTAAACATAAAACTAAGTCTGTCGTGTAGAAGACCATTTCTGGTAAAAGTTGGAACCATCTCCACAGCTCAATTGCTTTCTTCATTTGGGAACTCCAGGATGAAAGGAACCCACTTGTCATCACTAACGGGCAGCACCGTTATGCGATTAGGGAGTGAAATATCTGGAAATTGGTTGTAAACTCTAACCCTGTGGCACAGCAAGTAACTCTTCAGTCCACCACCTTTCCATCCATTAGTATCTGAAATTGAAACATCAGTAGGAGGTTTCAGTTTTTTAAATGTTTGAGAGGGACCGCTTTCTTCAGTTGAAGGGAATATCGATTCAGAACATGAGGAAGACTGTCCGATTTTGTTCATGTTATCCATTAGCACTTCTGCATGAGATGATGAATTTTCTGATGAGACTGACTCTTGAACTTTGATAGCAATGCGTTCATAGAAAAATGGTAAAACAATTTGAAATCCAACTGCACAAAAACTGGTAGAAAGATGCAAGGTATTAGATGAAGATGTCACCTTTAGTTTCATTAACACGGTCCTCATACTTGATAGCTGGAGATAAAACCGATTGATGTTCATGTATGAGATTCTCGAGTGACTCAACAGCAGTGGTCAAGTCTGAGCTTTGAGTGGTTTTGATGGCACGTTCTAATACATGTGGGGAACTCAGCTTAGTACTCCGACTCAATCCACCTAACAGAAATTAACCTAGCTTCTCAATGTACAACATCATTGACTTTCTGTCATATGAAAATAAGCAAAAGCACTGAAGCAAACACGACTCCAAAGTTGGATACAAGGATTTAAATTCTACGTAACATTGTGAAGCGAAATGTTATAAACGTAACACATTGTTTCCCTAAATCCAGATGATTAAATTCAAACACTGTCAAGTCAACTAAGTCCTAGTAACGAGTCAAAAACCATCTGGCGTCTATCACGGTGAATAATTTGAGATCATTAAACCCTGCCTTGCCAGGTAAGTATGAAAGAAAAAAATTTCATATGCAGCAGAAGAATATATACGATTTTTCTGTTTGTAGTGCATGCTCATGCTAAATGAAAACCATAAGAACCTTTCTTCCGCCACAAAAATGAAACAACCGAAAGCTATCATCAGAAAAAGGAAGAAGTAATTTAACTTACGCTGTTTTAACGAAATATAGGCAACCTTTGCAGCACTCAGCTCCGCCTGTTTCTTGGATTTCCCTGCATTCCCGCAGAACCGCTCACCTTTTACCTCCACAGTGGAAGAGAATGTTGGCATATGAGATGCACCGGATATCAGAGTCTTATATGTCGGCATGCAAAAGCCTTCTTCCCGACCTAACTCCTGCAAAAGATTCTTGTAATGTCCCATCTCATCCTGTACAAGGAAAGTAAGAAAACTTATATTATTCATGTCTGCAACCACTGGAAATTGAGAGAACAAATGACAGGAACTAGTTTCGAGAACTTGCATTAATTCGGGAGCTGTCTTCTGACAGTGACATCGAAACAGTGTTTGCAGCTGCGCGCTCTGCCTCCTTCAAGGTGTTGTACACCTCTGGATCAGCTGTGAATTGGAAATGTATATGAAATGTTAGTTCCATTTATAGATTAACTTTGCGAATTTGGAATGTGCTTGATTGTCTACTGTTATGTATTCAAACTAATAATAAAGAGATCACTTTTCATCGTTTTGTAGATGATTTACAGGTTTACAGTGCATGTATTCGGCAGAGCAGTATTGCAAAAATGGTCTCTTGGTCACCAGGCTACCAAGAAACTGGGACTTGTTATTAGTCCTTGATGAGTCAATTTCATATTATATATTTCACCCTATTCTTAGTATGTTGTGGGTAATTATTTTGGTAGAATTTTGATACTTTGTTTTATACTTTCAATATAGGACATTCGACTTCCTCTGGAGCAAAACATGATCAAATGGATGAATTTTGGAGTGATTCAAATTGGAGGGCGTTCGTGTGTCTCTTGGTGTGTTCGTATCAAAATTTGGGATTTTTCTATCAAGCAGTTATTTTCTGACGATGGAATAAAAAAGTAGTGTGCAGTGCTGAAAAATGACATTTTTGGGCTTAAATTGCGTTTTTGGAGCCCAAGATAACCTCTAAATCTGATGGGTTCGTAACCTTCTAGAGAAGTGTTCAGAATATTCCAAAGCTTAAATCTAACTATACTGGACCGATTTTGGAGCAGTTTAGGGGTCCAAAACGTGGCTATGCAGATTTTAGGCGAATTTTACCATTTAATTTAGAGTTATGTTTCCTATTTTATTTTAGTATTTAGTTTCCTAGTTTGATTGGAAGACTTTTTATTAGGAGGATTTAATTTTTACTAGGTTAAAAAGACCTTGGCCGGCCCTAGTTAGAGAATACTTCTTCTCTGTGCGTTGTTTGAGAGAGAGGAAATTGGTCAAGTGTAAAGGTTTTTAGACTTTTTCATTCAAGGTATTTTCGATCTTTTATTATTTCAATAAAGAACTATATGATTTTTATCATGAATATGCGTAACTAATTCTCTTTTTGCTAGGGTGAGGCCACAAGCCTTAACAAGAATATGTAGTTTCTCTTCAATTTGCTTATGCTTATATGCATGCAAGTTTTCAAATTATCAATCACCGGTTTATACTATCTAATTGTCTGATAATTTGCTACCATTAGGATGTTTAGAAAAGTAATTTGATACAATTTTAGTCAGAGATCAGTCCTTGCAATTGATGAAGGCTTCTTGTGATTAATATGTGCAAGTTCACTTAGGATGAATGTCATGCCTTAAGGGTTGTATGGTTTTTCAAAAGGTTTCACAAAGCTTAATGAGTCATGCATGTTTAGATTTGATTTGAATACCATAGATGGACTGCATGTTTGATATACGCTCTATATTAGGGGTCCAAGTAGGCATATATTAGGAAAACATAACCTTCGAAATATGCATGTAGGTCATAAGTAATTAGGAGAATTATATAGGATTGTTAAGGTGATGGCGGATCCCTAGTGTTTTCCTAATTTGATTTCTACAAAACTGTTTCCTTTTTCCTCATCTTTAATATTGCAGATTTGTTTACTTTTATTAATTAAAATCGTTTTTATTAAAGTAGGTCATAAAATCAATCATCTCAAATTTCAATTTTACAATAACTAATTTAAATTTGGTTTGCTTTGAACTATTTAATAATTCTTGTGGAGAACGACCTTGCGAGAACCATTTATACTACGATATCCTTGTCATTCTTGCAAGTATTATAGGAGTTTTTAACCCTTTTGCGTGTGTGGTAAAATTCCTATCAATGCTAATTTGGTTGTTCTTTACATAATTTTACTGGAAATATGTTTGTACATACTATGCAACACAAAATTATACATTTTGGAGACTAATTAATTTATAGATTAAACACAACGCAAGTTAAATCACAATTTGACATATACATACCAGTGCCAGAAGAAAGGTTAGAAGAAGGTGGAGAGGTGAAGTGAAAGAAAGCGAGCATGGCAGCTTGGTTTTGGGCTTGTTTGGACGATTTGCAAGAAACCGGGGAATCGAAGGAGAAGCCATTGACCGAAACAGAGGCCCTGAAGCAAGGGTTGTGATCCGGTCCGTCTTTCATGGCCGTGTATGTTGGCAACCCCCATTGCTTCCTATGGCAGACCTCCTGCAGCTTACTCTTGTACATTCTGATCTCAGCTCAACTCTCAAGTCCAAGTGGAAGAGCTGAAAATATATAAGTACCACTGTTGGGTTGAGTTGAGTAGTTAGGAGCTAACTTATCATTATCTCTTCATGTGAAAAGCATGAGTGCATTTGTAACCAAGAAATCATGAAGAAATTGCAACTCCATATGCATTTCTCCAGAACAAGATGTAAATGTGGATTCTAATTCAGTGCCTAACCAATAAAGAGAGCATACAGTTAATATGCATTCGGATATGAATTGATGTAGCACATAATATGACAGTAATTGTTGAGTTAAACTAAAATATTACAGGCCACTGTGAAAAAAGCCCAAGGTTGTGGTGTAAAATATTGTGGAGCCATAAAAGGCCAAGCATGAAGACAAGGCCCAAAAGACCGTTTTAGTTAAGGTCGGAGCAAAAGTTAGGTCTACTAATATTTGAATCGAAGCTAAGTTATTCAATGTGTGATTTTTTGTAGTTCGAGAATGATTCTTTGCTTGAGATGAGGGCTCTTTAAATTAAGAATCAAGAATGTGTTTCTAATAGGAATGGTTATTGAAGAACCATAACTATTGCCTAGGATATTCCTTCAGCAATATTCAGTGCCAAGCTAATAAACTTTCTCACCCTTTGATTAGATGCTCCTTCTAAATTGCTCTGAGCGTTGCTGCTTGCCTGACTCTTTATGGCTAAATGCAAAGACTCATAATCCTATTTTTTACAAAACAAAACACAAAAGAAATCTAAGATCCGTTTGGTATTTGATTTGGATTCAATGTTTTCAACTCAAAAACAAGTTTTGAGTCACAAATTTAAGTCTTTATTTGGCATTTGATTTGAATACAATTCTCAAAACCACAACTCAAAAATATTTGAAAACAACGATTATTTTGTTGAAAACGCACAAAAGTGTGTTTTTGAATTTTTTATTTTTTGGGATTCACCGCTCACTTTTGTTTGTCTCTCTCTATCACTCACTCCCCCTCTCTCTCTCTCTACCACTCACTGCCATCTCTCTCTCTATCACTCACTCCAGTCTCTCTCTCCTCCTCTCTCTTCTCTCTCTTCTGTGTTGTCTCTTCAATCTCTTCCCACTTGCATTCACCATAGCCACCACCTCTATTCTTCATCCTCCGGCCGAGATAAATTGACGGCAACGAAGGTTTTAGAGGTCGTTGGATCTCATATTTCAGATCGCCAACATGACTAGCCTTGGTCCGTCAGCGTGAGTTTGGAGGAAGGAGTCGGTAAATAGCAAAAGGGGTCACACAGGGAGGGGAGGGATGCAGTGGTCAAGAAATTGGTTTGGCCTAGGCGTTTATTTTTTTTTGTTTTGGATTAGTTTTGAGAAGTTGCATGCCAAACAAGGTTTTGAATTTAAAATTTTTAAATCAAAACATGTGTTTTTAGAAGGAAAAAAAAACAAAAGTTTGAGTTCTGTTCTCAAGTTAGATACCAAACAATAGGGTTAGGTTCGGTTCGAAATGGTTCAGTATTTTGCCAAAATCGAATCGAACCGAACCGAAATTTCGGTTCGGTTCAGTTTAATTTTTTTCGGGTTGGTTTTTTTTTTTTTTTTTTTTTTTATTGAAAATGAGTAAAATCTAAAATTTTAACATCTCCAAGACAATCATAACATAACAAAATCCAAATTTTACAGAAATATTCCACTTAACTAAAATCATAAATTCAAATAAACCTTCAAGTTTTCATGCCTTCCACGCACTTCTTCTCTTCAACTCCTCAAGCTCAACGCTTAGGCAGCCTAGGAGGCAACATAACATATTAACAATGCAACTGTTATCTCACTATGTGGTTAATCAGTATATATATATATATATATATATATATATATATAAGATGGAGATTAACAATGCAACTGTTGCTAAGAAAGAGAGAGCTCTACTTTAAGTTTGTAAAATTCACAAGTCAATATAAACGGGGAAGTCGTACATTGTCCATGTATTTATGTTTGTAAAATTCACAAGTCAAGAACTAAAGCATGGTGAATACAGATAAACCATACCATCAATTTTCTCAAACACATTTGTTGCAAACTGTCCACCCTGTTAATCAGCATACATATACAATGCAACCGTCTATATATGTACAATGTATAGAGCTCTACTTCATTAGTGGGGGATCAGCCTAAACTTGACTTATTTATAGAAACTAATTAGTCGACAATTAACTGTCTAGGTTTCTAATTAGGGAGTGATCCATTGCCTAGTTGTTCTAGCTCTCCCAGTGGACTGGTAGTACACTCAAACATGACAAACAAATACTAGTTTGCTAGCAAGATTAAAATCCAGTTGCCCAGTTCTAGCTCTCCCATTGCCCAGTTGTTCTAGCTCGCCAAGTTGTTCTTTAGCCTACTATTTTTTAATTTGCTATCAAGATTAAAATCCAGAAAATAGAAAAACAATCACACTGAAATTTAAAGGCAGATATGGGGTCACAAAGTCCTATCCTTCTAACCATAATTCGAAAAGTGAGTAGTAACGGCAGAAAGAAACCTAGAAAATCGGCAGATTGATAGAAAATGCAAAGTATGAAATGAATCCTTCTCTAATCAGAACCAATTTCAATAGATAAATAGAACATAAAATTAAATACTGAGAAATGAGAGTATGAGACTAACCTTTTGCAGTGGAGACTCGAAACGGCAAGAAAAAGCTCACAGTGAGATGAGAGACTGACACTGAGGGCGAGGTGTGAGAGATTAAGAGTAAGAAGGGTTGAGCCGTCGCGGGTCGCTTGGGATTCAAGATCGAGAGAGACAGAGTTTGAGAAAGACAAATAGTGATTGAAGTTGAAGATCGAGAGAAAGAGAGAGGAGGCTAACCTTTTGCTGTCAAGACTCGAAACAGCAAGAAAAAACTGACGGCGCGGGCGAGGTGTGAGAGATTAAGAGTGAGAAGGGTCGCGCCGTCGCGGGTCGCCTGAGAGATTGAGAGAGACATAGCGATTGAAGTTGAAGACCAAGCGAGAGAGAGAGAGAGAGAGAGAGAGATGAGGTTCAGGCTACGCGAGAGGGTTATTGGGTTAGGGTTACACTTGGGGTAAAACGACATTGTTCTAGCGACACAAATCTGCAAGAAGTTGGAGGCATGGACATGGAGGGTCTCACAAATATGAAGCTTGGAATAGAAAGGAGGATCCAGGTTATGGAAGAATGGAGAAATTGGAGGCATAGACATGGAGGGAGTCTGAAGGCATGGAACAAGAGAGAGAAAAGGGGAATGAAAAATGGAAAAGGTGTGGCTGCTACTACTGGTGGCTAGGATTAAAGGATTTTGTTGATTTCTCATAAAAATTAAAAAAATTCTTCGAAATCCTGAAGGCATGAGGGTTCGAACCCATGTGCTCCAGCTTGAAAAGTTTCACTGAAACCAACTTGGCAACATGTTCTATTTTATTATGATTGTATGACTAAACTATTTATAAATATTGAAAAAAATAATTAAATATATATTGGTTCGGTTTGACAGTTTCAGTTTGATTTTTTTTCGGTTTGGTTTTTTTCGGCCTCGGTCTGGTTTGGTTTTTGGTTTTTGGTTTTTTGAACCCACCCCTACCAAACAAGCCCTAAAGTCTTGTTAGCTCCCTTTTTTTTTTTTTTTTTTTTTCCAACAATCTTGTTAGGCTTAAAAAAGGAAAATGTTAGTAATACCATTTTCTAAGTCACAGTCATTAACTATATAATGTGTCACTAATATAAAATAAGCAAATTAATTAAATAATTAAGTAATAGGGTGAAGTGTCGATTTAGTGTCACATCCCAACCCTCAGCTCCAGTGATATTGTCCGCTTTGGCATTCCCTGCCCGCAGACAGAGCTACCGCACGGTTTTGTTCCTGCGGACCGGTACTCAGCCGTAGCCAGCGCCTGCTCTCCCCTCAGGGAGTCCGCAAAAGGCCTCACTGAAACTTAAGGTTGGCAATGGATATATAAGGCCCAAAGACCAAGCCCTCACGGGCGATGTGGGATATATAGTAGTATCCCACATCGCCCGTGAGGGCTTGGTCTTTGGGCCTTATATATCCATTGCCAACCTTAAGTTTCAGTGAGGCCTTTTGCGGACTCCCTGAGGGGAGAGCAGGCGCTGGCTACGGCTGAGTACCGGTCCGCAGGAACAAAACCGTGCGGTAGCTCTGTCTGCGGGCAGGGAATGCCAAAGCGGACAATATCACTGGAGCTGAGGGTTGGGATGTGACAATTTGGTATCAGAGCCAGGTTCACGGTCGTGGTGTGCCGACGAGGACGTCGGGCTCCCTAAGGGGGGTGGATTGTAGTATCCCACATCGCCCGTGAGGGCTTGGTCTTTGGGCCTTATATATCCATTGCCAACCTTAAGTTTCAGTGAGGCCTTTTGCGGACTCCCTGAGGGGAGAGCAGGCGCTGGCTACGGCTGAGTACCGGTCCGCAGGAACAAAACCGTGCGGTAGCTCTGTCTGCGGGCAGGGAATGCCAAAGCGGACAATATCACTGGAGCTGAGGGTTGGGATGTGAATGTCACATCCCGGCCCGGGGCGGATCACTTCCCGGGCCCGCTCCACTACCGTAGCACGATATTGTCCGCTTTGGGCTTACCATTCCCTCACGGTTTTGTTTCTGGGAACTCACACGAGAACTTCCCGATGGGTCACCCATCCTGGGAGTGCTCTCGCGCGCTACTCGCTTAACTTTGGAGTTCCTACGGAACCCAAAGCCAGTGAGCTCCCAAAAGGCCTCGTGCTAGGTAGGATGGGAATATACATTTAAGGATCAGTCCCCTGGGCGATGTGGGATGTTACAATCCACCCCCCTTAGGGGCCCGACGTCCTCGTCGGCACATACGCGGCCAGGGATAGGCTCTGATACCAAATTGTCACATCCCGACCCGGGACGGATCACTTCCCGGGCCCGCTTCCACTACCGTAGCACGATATTGTCCGCTTTGGGCTTACCATTCCCTCACGGTTTTGTTTTTGGGAACTCACGAGCAACTTCCCAGAGGGGTCACCCATCCTGGGAGTGCTCTCGCGCGCTACTCGCTTAACTTTGGAGTTCCTACGGAACCCAAAGCCAGTGAGCTCCCAAAAGGCCTCGTGCTAGGTAGGATGGGAATATACATTTAAGGATCAGTCCCCTGGGCGATGTGGGATGTTACATTTAGCCCCTAAAACATCACCTCAGTGAAAATTAGGTTCCTGAATTAGTTTTTCAATAAAATAAGTCCCTAAATTAGTTAAAATTGCTAATTTAATCCCTAATATTATATTCAAAGCTATTTTATTCTTTTGTCAACTTAAGTCACTTGACACACTTTATAATGTGTTACTGTTCTTTTCTCGCCTATAATAGCCCTTAACATTTCATATCGGTTGTGAATCTAACGTCTAATTTACCCTTTAAAGTTAACTTCATACACTATATCTTTATGTAAAATTACTAATCTACCTTCCAATGTGTATCACATGCAAGTCACGTGACATAAATGAACGGAAAACTAAATATATTAGCTTCGAATATATAATTGGTAGATTTTTATAATTCAATGACTATTTTTTTGAAAAAATTAGTTTAGGAACCTAATTTTTGCTCAGATGATAATTCAGAAACTAAATTGGCCGTTCATCCTAAGTAATAATCTAATCATTATCAACCAAATCATATGCTTTATAAAAGAAAAATGCTAAAGAGACTCTCTTAAGATGAGACTCTTTATGGACTATCCACCACCTCATATGTTTTGCACAATGCTTTAAAATATTTTGGCATGGAATTGTGCCAAAAATCTAAGGTAGGAGGAGAGTTCTTGGAGAATTTGACTTTTAAGAGAGTATGCTCAGTGTTCTTTTTATAAAATATGATTTAAATAGATGGTGATGGGAAGGTAATACGATTCACCTTCCAACACCCGATCCCTCGATCAGGTTTTCTATCTCCCTCCTCCCTCCTCCGACACCACCGCCAGCCCAAAATAAAGGTTCCCCCTCGCCCCCTCCACCAACCTCCTCTTCTCTCAGCCCTTATCCGCCCACAGCCTCTCCCTCCATCGCTCTTCAAGCCATCAAAATCCGCAATTTTGACAGCCTGACGAAAGCGACGTAAAGCGAAAGAGGTTGGAGTTCTCTCTCGGTTTTCCTTCTCATATTAATTTCTAGTTAAATTTTCAGCAACCTTAATCTCTGCTAAACCTCGTATGGATGTCTATATCAACACACACACACACAGAGACACCTATGTATATGTTTAACAAACAATTTCGACTGTTTAATGTTTCAGCAGTGTCTGTAACGGAAAACAAAAGTTTTAGCTGTGAATCCATGTCTTTTCACACGTTGACGTTGGTGTGCTTTTTGTTTCTAATTTTGTTTACTGTTATTTTTGCTTGAGGAAAAAATGGTGTCTGAGTTAATCAATGCGAATCCGGTCATCTACGAAAGGAAAGAGCGTCGGGTTCGTAGCGTTCCAAGTGCTGCTGCCGATGAATATGCCGTTGAAGCCATTGACCAACAAGAGATTTTTGATATCCTTTCTGTATATACTTGTATTTATGCATTTTACTGTAAATGTATATGAAGCATCTATGTGTATGCCGAGAAGAGTTTTTGTTTTCTATGAACGAATATTAATCCATTGATCAACTTAATTGCTGTACTTTAATCAGTTTCGAAAGTAGTTTTATGTTTTGTCTTGTATGCCGGGATGAGTTTAGTCGTCCTTAACAATTCTTAAATCATATTAGAGATATAAAGGACCCGGAACACCCTTATTCTTTGGAGGAGCTCAAAGTAATAACCGAAGATGCAATTGAAGTCGATGATGGCTGTGGCTACGTCAGGTAGACAGACCTTTTTATGCTCATTTTAAATAGGCTTTTGCCTAGTTCTGGCTATGTTTTGAACCCTGTTGGCTAAATGATGATTGTTTTCTTCAGGGTCACGTTTACTCCTACCGTGGAACATTGTAGTATGGCAACAGTTATTGGTCTTTGCTTACGTGTTAAACTCTTAAGGAGCTTGCCTTCTCGTTACAAGGTACGATCTTTATCTTCTTGTTGAATTGGATTCACAGGATTCTCTATTACCATGTTATATAGTTTAAATTGGGAGTGAATACCAGGACTCCATCCAATTGAATTTCTGCCTGTATAATAGTACTGTTTTTTAAGCTGTTGAGATGAATGTAAAATGTAACTGTCTGTTTAATTTATGAGATTTGGGTAAAAAAAATGGAGAGGGGTTTGTTTGGAGAGTCATATTATTGTGCATTATAATACTATGATATACATACAAAAGAGTCATGCACCATTTCTTATGTTGGGTGAATAAGAGTGGAAGCGGGGAAGACATTGCTCAAGATGGTGGAAGCAGGGAAGATATTGCTCAAGTTGTGTTTCTCTACAACAGTGTGATATTATGATGAACCTTTCCTATGTTGTTATTTGGTTGATTTAATATCTTGATGTTTAGCTTACCTATTAGGTCACTACACGTAGTGGAGATAGACTCTGTATTTGGTCACGATAGTATGCTTTTGATTTATGCCTGGAAGTTGGAATAACTATATAGGTATGCTCTCAAACTTGGTTGAAAATCAGTAACAATTAGAGTCTGCCTTTTGCGGATCTTTTTGTGTCCACTTATCTATTTACTTTTCTGATAAAATGCTAAAAGGCATTCTGAAGCTCCAATTTTGTGAAAGCATCATTTTGTGCTGTTTGTTAAAGAATGAGTGTTTAAGGGAATCTTCTGATATGTCCACGCTCGACATACAAGTTGATATGGTTTTTGTGGTGTATGTACACATCCAAGAATAAATGCATAAACATGTAGGCACACAAACACATACTCAAGAAATATTTTACAGCAACCACTTGACATAAGTGTAGAAAATAAATTTTGATCGGAAACAAGTAGTTAGCTATGCCTCCAAATTTCGTGCATTGTTGTGAACTATTCGACCATTCGAACACTCTTGTGATGCCATTTAGAAATAATTATTGGACGCCCCATTTTCCTCCAAAGTGGAATAGCTCAGCATTGTCTGCCTATGATTCATGATGGTCCTTTTGTTTCTTCTCTATTGTACCGATTAAGTCTCAGCCTTTGTAAGCGTGCTAATTTTTTAATATTTTCATTGTGGTTAGGTGGATATTAGGGTGGCACCAGGATCTCATGCAACCGAAGCTGCCGGTACTCTCTCTCGTTCTTTCTCTCTCTCTGGGTTTTTGTGACACATGGTTGAGCTGTGGAATTTCTCATGATTCGTTGATATGATTCTCAAACCAATTCACAATTAAGCTTATAGCAACACATTCCATCTACACCAAGCTAACATTGCAAAGGTTACTGACATCTCGTTACTAAAACAAAAGGTTACTGACATCTGTTTAAAAGAAACCTACATGAAGTAGTCTTACCTTTCACCTGGGTGATGGAATAAGCATCTTAATAAATTTTTTGATTATTCTCGTCTAGCATTCATGATTTTACTTTTCTTACATGTGCAGTTAATAAGCAACTGAATGATAAGGAACGGGTGGCTGCGGCGTTGGAGAACCCAGGCCTCGTTGATATGGTTGATGAATGCCTTTCTCCTTCATACGAGTGAATGAATCGCTTATCTTGACTGATCGACTGGTCCAGTCATCACTATACAACTTTTCTACCAGATATTTATACATCTTGTGGCCACTTATGTTGGTACATTTTGAATGGCCAGTTAAGATGGGGAATATATGGATTAAAAGAAATAGAGCCCCTTGTTTAAAATTAGTTTCATTGTTTTTCCTCTCGACTGATTTGTATTGTATTAATGTACCACAGAATAGCATTAGTTTATGTTATGTGATTTAGTTTAAAATCAGATTGTTGAATATTTGGGGTTGCTTTGCTTTGATAACTTTATTGTTTGTTTTAAAGAGAAATTAAACAGATAAGAGCGAGGAGATGGAGAAATACAGGGTTCTAATTTACCTTTACACTGTTTAGATGAGGAAATTTAAGATTACAAAGAAATTTTAAAAGGGTCCCTAAAATTGACTTATACCATCAAGACGGTCTTTGAAATTGAAAATTGATCAATGTAGTTCTTGAAAGTAGGCGTTGCAAATCAATATGCTCTTTTCGTCTTAATTTTGTCAAAAAAATTTATTATGTGTTGGTGTGACACAAAAATGAGTCTCACAAGTTGTTTTTTATTTTTATTTTTTATTTTATCATAAATGGTCCCTGAAATGATCCACACAATTAAGATAGTCCCTGAAATTGAAAATCAATGTAATCCTAAAATAAATTTCTCAAATCAATGTGGTTATTCAATCTTATTTCTTTCGAAATTTTTGTTACTTGCGGATGTGGTGTGACATCCCGTCTCGGAATTATCGGAAACGTACGTGTGAAAAGATTGTTTTGCCCCTAGTTTGTTTTCGTTATGTTTTTGGTTGTTTTGTGTGGTGTTGGCCAGAGTTGGACCACACACACACACCCTGTCACTTTCCCTCTCCCTCTGTCTTTTCCCTGTCTCTCTCTCCCGAGCCCATTTCCTTCCTCTTCCTTTTGAAAGTGTACGGACACACACAAACACACTCAACCACTTGCAGATCGAGGGAACCAAGTACACCATCAAGTTCGTGAGGCTGAGAGGAGTCCAGTGGTGCCATTTTCAGGTAAGAACTTCGACGTTTTCACTTCGATTTCACAAGCTCAGTTTGGGGTACTATTCATGCAAATTTAACCTAGCTAGTTTTTGGGATTTTGAAGCTTGTAGTTGTGTTTGTGAGGTTCCCAGGAGCTTGGGAGTGCTTCGTTGGACAAATTTGGACGTCGGGAAAGCTTGGTTCGAAGTTGGCCGGTTTTTAAGTTTGAAGACAGGTATGATCGTGTGGTTTTTAGCCTTTAAAAGTAGTCTATCGTGATTCTCCTAGGTCTAAGCTTCATTTTGGTTCAAGAATCATGAAAATTGGTTGAAAAACGAAGGAGAATAGTGAGTTTGAAGTTTCCTCGGTTTTCCGGTGACCGGAGTCCGGCGAGGGTAAGCCGGAGAAGAAACAGGAATATTTCGTTGAGTTTAACGGAATATTCCTAACGGCAGTAACGGTATCCGGTTAAGTTTAACGGAATATTCCGTTGATTTTAACGGAATATTCCTGACGGCGTCAATTGACACCGTCAGTGTGCATGGCACGTGGCCGCGCGTGGGGGCGCGTAGGTCCGTGCCTATTTTGGCGCGTGGGGGCGCGTGAGAGGTCCAAAAATTATTTTAAAAATATGGTTGTGATCCTGAGGTTGTGTAGATCACGTTGGTATATTCATTTGTCCATTTTGAGCAATGTATGAGAAGTTATTTTGAACGGAAGGTTATGTGCTTTAAAGTTAACGTTTTTATAGTTAATTCGCATATAGGTGACACGTATCCCGAGGACGAGCGTGCACACTCGAGGCAGGGGGGCTACGACCCTTCCACATACCAGTGAGTGGGCTTTTGTTTTCCGTATATACCTATATACATATAATTCCCAGAAATTAGTATAAATGCTTATTCGTTATATGCCGTTTCTTTTATATAATTGGTTATTATGCATGGTTGGTTGCATATATGGTTATTATGTATATTCATTTATACGTTTATATATAATGGTGTTGTGGAGGCACAGGTAAGTGCCAGGTAAGCGTTATTTCATATATGCATTCAATAGTGATTAGAGATGCTTAGAGAGCTCATAACCTGCACCCTCGGTGTTAGTGCTCCCGCCCAGAGTAGGGCACAGTCCTTCACGTGTTGTTCACCTCCCGCACCATACGCTCAGCTTGGATCCAAGTTAGGTGCACAGTCCTGTCGTACAGACCACTATAAGTGGTTCCGACTCGTAGGTGACCCGCGATTATTCGCACAGCCTTCACGTGATCGTAGCACTAGAGCGTTTATATGTATTACACCCAGGCTTGTCGTACAGACCACTATAGGTGGTTCCGACTCGTGGGCAGGTTTAGTTGTTGAGATTGAGATTTGAGCTCTATATTCAGCCGTACAGATCACTTTAGGTGACTCCGGCTGCCAGTGATAAGTTATTGACACGGTTATACCTGAGCACTTGCATGTTATTATGAGGCTTTGAGCATGACGGCATACCTTTGAGCATGATGGCATACCCTTGAGCATATTTGGCATATTTATACCTACGTATGTATGTTTATTTTCTGGGAAGTATACAGGTTTTACGGCGAGGGGTTAGAATGTATTTTATGAAATGGTTTTCAAAGAATTTGTTTTTGCCCACTCACGCTTTTGTTTTGCGCCCCTCCAGGTTCTAGTAGCTTAGCGGGTTTGGTGGTTTTCCCAGAGGACGTCCCGGCATTTCTGACAGACACTCACCGATGTAGGGTCACCTTCGGGTGCACTATTGTTGTATCGTTTCTTTTGGACTGTTGTAGGCTTGAGGCTCTGAATTCAGCGACTTACTTACGCTAGCACATACTTTATCACATTATTTTTGCTAGTTTTTAAATTATTCGTACTTCTATATTATTTCCTTTAGCTTCCGCGCTATGCACATGGCTACGTCACTTCCACGTGACGGCCAGCATGCCCTGGCCTCGGTTGGGGTGTGTCATGTGGCACATAAATGGATCCACAAGTCTAACTAAATAAAAAATAGGTCTAATAATTTAATAATTTAATAAAATAGTTGTCAACTCAGTAACTTGATCCTGCAATCACCATTGATCCCAACTCGTACTCCTCTACCTCCATCTATGGTAGCGTTTGCTGTCTCTTCTCTAAAAAAGAAAATTCTCAAGACACCCATCTTTACACCCTTTGAAACCTTTTATCAAATTAGACTAGGACGGAGACCACCTTTGGTTATGACTTAGATTTGGTGACGACTTTTGTGACTCCACCGTCAACATTTGGGCGATTGACAACCTCACAACCTTAATCTTGGAGAGCTTGTTGGACGCTCCTCTGGAGATCTTGGTGACACAAAGAATGGCAAGCTCTGCCTTGAGATAATCTCATTGCAAAAACGTATTTTGACAACTTTTTTAATCAATTATTAAATCCACATCATCACATAACATAATTTTTGATAAAATTGTGACGGAATGACCATATTGATTTGTAACACCTATTTTTAGTGACTATATTGATCGATTTTCAATTTTAGGAACCATCTTATGGTGTGGGTCAATTGGAGCGATTAGTTGTGATATAAACTCATTTTAAAATGATGAAAATAGAAATGATGATTTTTTATTTTATTATTATTTTTATTTTTTTAAAATTTGTGAAATTTCTTGTTTGGTTAACCTAGAAGAGCAATGGAATTTGAATACAGAATTTGTTACTTTTCACTCTCACTCAAAAAAATTTGGAGACACACCTATTGATATGAAATTTAAACTTGAGAATTGGAGGTCCCAAATTTCAAGTTTTTTTCCATACGGAAATTCTAAATTTCTATGTTCATGAATCCAAAGAAGAGATTTATGGAATGAGAATTTGAATTATTTTGATTCTCAAGTTTCCTGCATTTACTAAAGTATAGGCATGAGAATTGTTTTACTTCTAAACTTTTGCTTGTGTTTACTAACATGTAAGGAATTGGAGAAATATTTTCTTTTCCGTAAGAACCGAAATCAAACCTAAAAACTAATAATTACATCAATTGGAGGAGTAGTTGATTTGATTCCTTTTCCTTTTCTTATTTCTAAGTTCTCCCGTTATCTATTCTAAGGTTGAGGAGTGAATTGACTATAGATTAGCTACAGTCAATTGTTTGCCCCTTGCTTTCACCTTATTTACAAGAAACCCATTATATTTGGGCTGGTATTGTGACTGAGTTGTTCTGGGCTGCTCATGAAGTTGTCCCTGGGCTTTCTCATTTGTTGGTTGAGGTTGGCCCTTTGGGACTCTAAATGACGAGACTGCCCATCTAGGCTTCAAATCGCACGATGAGGATTGCAAGTTAGAGGGGTGGAGTCGTCATTTCATTCTTGGGGTTTCAGAGGGAGTGGGGTTAGGTTGTTCCCCATCATTTCGTTCATCTTTGTTGAACCTATGCCGTCGCAGAGAGATATAGAGATATAGAGAGAGGGGGTAATTTTTAAACTTTAGGAGGGTAATGTTGTCCGTAGGGTGCCCTCTTATGGAGAGAGTTGAAATCACTCTTTTACCCCTTTAAATCTTATCCAACGGACATGATTAGGGGTCATTTTGGTCCTTTTGTACCTTGGGTTGGGGTAGGTCGATTCGATGGCTCAAAGTATTTTATGCAATTCTGTCAGTTGCAAAGAGAGAGAGAGAGTAGGATTCTCTCCCTTTTTTTTTCCCTCTTCTATTTGAACGGTCATGGTTAAGCCACGTTAACATCTTATATTAATTTTTTATAGAAAAAGAAAGACAAAATAGAGAATATGAGAGGAGGAGATGGAAGGGAATGGAAATAGGAGATGAGAGATGGGGGAGTATGGGGTAGGGGAGAGGATTCTCGGGAAGGAGGTATGGGTTTGAGGAGAAAAAGTAAGGGAGAAGTATGGGGGTAGGCTGTGCCATTGGGGGTAAAGGAACAGAGAGCTACTATGAGAGAGAGGGATGGCTTCGGCTTTGATCTGATCAAACCCACCTCCAAAACCCTTCCTGATCACCATCTTCAGCAACCCAATTCAGAGCCTGCTCGGATTGGGAACTCTTGGAGAGTTTAATGTTTCGAAGTTACATGTTTTTGGATTTTTGTGTGTATTTTCTCAAGGGAAAAAAGTTGAATACATTTTTTGGTTTCTTAGCTACCGAATGGGAAATATTTCATTTATTAGTAATGCTTTGAAAAATGCGTGATTCATTAAGTGAAAGACGCTAATCGAATAGTTAGAGATGCC